CCCAAAACCCCAAAACCCCAAAACCCCAAAACCCCAAAACCCCAAAACCCCAAGATCCTATTACAGGTTGAAAAGGCTATTTCAAATAGATTAGTATTTTTTATTGGAACTGATTAGGTATTTGGCCAGCCAAAGGACTTGACGAATCATTGGTATCCCCTTGGTTGTAAGGGAGCAACGCATCATGCTTGTTCTCATTTTTGGATTTGTACAGGAAGAAGGAGGAGTATATCAGAGGGGTTACTAAGGAGATGTATGGCATAATTGTGGTCACGAAATAAATTATAGACCTTTCAACAAGTGTGCTTGTACTCTGTTCGGATACGAGATCATGAAGTAGATCTGGGTTTGAAAGTCCTTGGATTCCTCGAGCTAGTCTTGCAGCTGTCCAAACAAAGTTTACTATTAATATCATAAAGAACGAAGTTTTGAACTTTCCGTTTAGATTTCCGATTCCACAGAATAAAATAGTGTAGAAGATGACCAAAATTGGGCCTATTAATGAGCCTACAATATTAGCCCAAGACATAATCTCAAAATATTCATCAGAAGAGATTTTCTCTTGCATGAATTTAGCGCTAGCCCATCCTGCACCTCCAAGATATGTGAAAAACATCAATCAGAAAAGAATATTCTTTATAAATCTTACGATCGGAATAGTTGATGTGCAAGGTACAATAGTATCTGGGTTTCCTTCCTTTATTATTTTAAAGGTTTGGTAGTAAGGAATCAGATTAAATATTACAGTGATAAACTCGACAATAGCTAAAAACATGATGAATAACCTATCCCCTGGCTCCCAGCCATCTTGAAGAGAAGGTTGCCAAGGATATTCATTTCCAGACATTGACCCAATTGCTCCAAACATCCATATCATTTGTAGAAACAGGAGGTTATATAAAAACGCTCCTGTAACTTTTGAGCCCGATTTTGATTTACGGATCCTGCAGAGGCTAAAATATTAAGAACTGAATTTACCAAATCATCGCTGCAATCAGAATCAGGAATATGATAAAGCAGAAGGACCAAAGAGCGTAATGCACGTTCTTTACGAACATTGATATTTCTAAAAATTTTATTATTCATTGGTTCATAAGTTAATAGGGGTTTTGGGGTTTTGGGGTTTTGGGGTTTTGGGGTTTTGGGGTTTTGGGG